ATTTACATTCTCATTTTCCTTAATAATTATAAATCCATTTAACGTTGTCACAGAAGATCTACGATCGTTATCTAAGATCAAGAAAAAAATGTGCAATTTACATACATGCCAGTGCTTTATCGCAATTTTGTGCTACGTCATTAAACATCTGCAGCTTGTAATCAGAACATCCTCTTTTGTAGATATTGTTACATGGCTATATAACTTCTCATACATACTGATCACTCCCTATTTGCAAGTAACTAGAATAAAATCTCCATTAACGCATTTAGAAACTCAAATAATCGTATTTTCGTTCATTTTATATTTCATTTTACATTTTCACAGTCTAATGATTGTTGACAATAAAATACAGGTAACCCTCCTATAACACGGTAGATAGGTTCCTAGAAAATGTGTTGTGTGAAACCGTGTTGTATGAGACCCAGAGCCAGTACAAAAAGATTACGTTTTAAAAACTTACTAAAAACAAATTTGTTTTTAATTCTACGTAAACAACTTAATTTTCATTTAAAATATAAACGTATGTACGACACAAAAGAAAAGAAAAGCAAAGATATTATTTTAATTTAATGCAACTTTAATTTAATAAATTTCTTCGTCGTCACTGTTTATGTAGAAGTACAGTGTTGTACAAAGGTTTTTGCAATTTTCTTATCGTGTTAGTGCGAAACCGTGTTATGGGATACCGTGTTGTAGGAGGGCTACCTGTACTTTATAAGGAAAAGGAAAGGACTCAAGGAAATGCTAGATGAATGGCATGTGATATCTCGTCGATTCAATTTCTTTTTATTTCTCTCCTTTATTTCATTTAAAAGGATGAACGAAAAACTTGAAAATATGAAATGAACGAATAATAGATAAACCGATTTGAATATATAAGTACATTGATTTGTACGACTAAAGCAGTAACCGGTAGTACGCTTTTCCAGTTATTCATTTCCTTCGTTTGTCTCTTTCTATCTGCCATTGTCTCTTTTTGGCTTTTTACGTACGTGCCTCGACCAATAATACGATGCACGTGCGTTCATTCATAGAACGCTAACGTGGTTTCAGAGTACCGTGTACGGCTTAGTCTCGTAATCAAGTAAGATGCGGACACCATGAGTGGCAACCTTGCAGACAAGATGACACGTATGCATAGTCGGATGTGCATAGCATACGGTCGCATTGGCTGTTGGCTGTTGAGTGACATCTCATTCATTCTTACATATCAACTACAGAAGCGGCCGATAACTATGGAGCGATCGATCGTACATACTCCATGTTAATATTTTGCTAATAGTAGCGTACGTAGATTTCCGCCCTTTTTAAATATCGTGCACAAATGAAAAATTAGAAAATATTTTAATATTCTCTCGTAGATCCATGAGAATCTCTGCTCTGAAACTCTAGCAAACCGATGCATTGGTAATCAAAAACGGAATCCAACGATAATGACTCGCGTTATATTGTATCCTTACTGAAATGAAAAAATATTTGCGGATTATGAAATATAATCTGAGCTACAAGGCTTCCCGAAGGCTGCATGCGGAAAATATAGAACAATTGAAGTACGTACATTTTAATCACGAATAACACAGGATAGGGTAAGATAGCGATGAAAATAAAAGATTTATGAACCTATCAGTCTAGTAAAATTGCTTGTTAATGCTGCTCTACGTTGTACTTTTCATATTCCAGAAATTTCACCGTTTACCTCGTAATCGGATCAAGTATCGGAGATGGAGTTACTTCTAGTCAAAGCGTCTATTCTCGGGCACGGAACTTGGAACAAGTTGAAGCAACACATTTCATTATACCGAAGTGCAACAGCAATTTTCCATGATGTCGTTGAGCTTGTTTTCACTCGTCCCGTTATAAAAATAGTTGGTCAATTTTGCGTTAATTTTCCGGTATTAGAAGTAACCGGAACACAGGAACGCCAAGGAAAAGGGTGCACGTTGCTGCAAGTACTTGGAGGAAATTGCGCAAATACGCGGAATGTCGTCTGAGAAGAAAAAAAACTGATGTATAGTAGTATTAGATCGTTCACGGTGGCTGATTGCTTGACGATCGTGTCACATTATATCGTTATTTATGACAGACAATAAGATAACTTCGTTATTCGTGCATGATTTCGTGGATCGCGTGATTCGAGCAAGTGAACTCTCGTTGCAAGTAAAACCTCGAACATTCACTCGCGCTCAATAGTTATTTTTCTTTTTACCATCGTTCGTAGAAATTTCGAACTGTCGAAATCAGAGACATTACGCAATGATCGTATCGTATGGTATCGTAAACAAGAACTGTTTGCAGGTAGGAATGCCACTAGTTTCCAGGTGTTACAATTCTACTTACAATGGCAGTCGATCACTCGAACGTGTATTGTGCATCAAAGAGTACATATACTTTTCCACTATTCAAGTTTAATTATTCTCTCCATACGCTTTCTATGAGCGAATAACTTTCACTGCTTATCAGTATTAAGATGCTTCGCGAACATTTGGAATGTTGTCCAGTGCTGAATTTTCTTTAATAATTTAAGAACAAATCGTCATCGAAACGATTTATTAATTTAACGGAATATTAATCTAAAATTTAGTGCAAATTTGTTAGATGCATACTTGTGTTCAAAGACCTTCGAACATATTCGTCATCGGTCGACGAATGTAAAGTGTACGCGGAACCTTCTTTGTAACGATATATGTAACGCCAGACGTGACGCTACTTTCACAGAAAAGCTAGCATCATTGGTCTGCGTACCACGGGTGCCCGAGTTGAGTAGTAGTTCGTATTTTTAACTATATGACGTAGGCAAGAAACAGTCAGTAACAGTACGGATGGTGAACGGTAGATCGTAGACGTGACTGTTTGCTTACGAATAGACTTATTTCCACGATCGGTGTCATCGAGATCGTGGTCAAACAACGGCTGCAACCACCTTGGCACGAATTCTTGATTGAGGAGCAACTGGCAAATTTTATTGTTCCCGCATAGATTCGTTGCTTTTAGATGAGAATTCTTAACCAGCGCACTTACACGATATATATCGTTGTGAAACAAAGGTACAAGATGTCCCTATCCTTGACCTCGGCCTCGATGCCGAACAGATGCTGAACTCTTCAAACGATTGAATTTCGCAAAATTTTCATCCGATCATTAAAATAGGAATGATCAGAGATATTTTTACACTAAATTTGTCTGTACATCATACGTCGTACTTATCATCAAAAATCTTTGCTATAACGATCGTTTGACATCTAAACTTCATTGAATTTGTTTAAAAACAGATATTGTTATGAATACTTTTGGTGTCCTTTGCTAAATTCTTAGACTGATCGTGCGAATAACTGTCGTGACCTTGCGCAAGGTTTTAAACAGCTGAACCATCTGCATAATTTGCATCGATCAATATTGCGGTGAATAATTATCAGAATATTCTTGTTTTCCCGTACGTTCTATGCTGAATGTTTGTATTTTCTAAAATTTTATCGATGATTTAAAGGAAGAATGTTTTTCATAATACGCTTACAATACATTGCGCTATTGATAAAAATTATATAATTCAAAAATTTTCTAAGGCAAAGTAAAATCTCCTCTATTTAAATATTGACTAGTTTCATGTTGAAAATGGAACAAGCCCACATAATTGATTACTCGAAAGTATGTTGGAAAAGATAGAACCTGTCTTAACATTTCGTGAAGTTAGTTTAGGTTTATCGATCATTATATTTTTATTTAAATTTTCGACTATGTTAACTTAAATACAAAAAAAATTCGAATATGTAAAAAATATATAATACAAACCATATATTAATTAGCAATTTGTATTTAATATCAACTGATATTTAGACATAATATCTGTAGAAATAAATTATGACCAACGTTTACACGTGATTCATAATATTATAGTATCAGCATTTTATGCATTACCAAAACTAACAACAAGCTAGTTGTCATCCGTGACTCATGTACAGAATTAAAGTGTTTCCTTTCTCTCCTTTTACCTCATCATTTAATTCGCGAGTCGCGACTACATAATGCGTAAATTTTAATTAAATAACAGATAAAATATTTCCTACCTAAAAAATATCTAAAAGTAGAAAATGCATTTATTACAAGAAGTATCTTAATCATTTATAAGTCAAATTACATATAGAGTGCGCTGTATGTATACATGTATAATATATCATAATACTGAAATCACAAAGCTTGCGATGGTGCACATCTTAGTATTCATAAAGCAATGCCAAAGTAATCATTTTCAAATATATATCATATTACACTTACGATATTACGTTAATTTGTAATATGAAGAATTGTTATTTTATTTTTAAAACATCGAACAACAAACTTTATTTCCTATCAAAATGTTATTCATTAACTTAATTCATAAGCAATAACAATTTTACTTGCAATAATAGCATTTAGAATTTGTTGCAAGAGATTTTATAAATTATTTAACATAACACATAAAAATATTAACTGTTAGTAATATTTTAAGACTTATTTTTTCCAATATTTCAAAACTTGTAAATATAATATACGGCACCCGATTTATGCTCTTCTCAGTTCGTGCAACTTTCTGAGGCTTCCATCATTTCGCAGAAAACCACCTACCAATTCCACGTAATAAGCTTCTGACGTAGAACCCAACAATTACGCAAGGAAATTGCAATGATGCAACGAAAATCTTCACAAATTGTATAACACTTCATAATACTTCATAATCGTTCTGCGTAGAAAATCTATTACAATATTATTCTTAGCTCTGCAGAAATTTATTTATTCCTTACCTTCAAGTTGTTCAATTAAAAAAATATATAGAAAATTGTTAAAAGAAAAAAGTATTTTTTATACAATATTCATATTAATTTTCATTAGAAATAACAAATTATTAAAAGTTAAAATGAATAAAGGAAGGAGAATAAGAGACACATACGGCATAAATATTTATCATTTATATTATAAGCATATTCAATATCTAAAATCTGTACACAAATATAAAAATGTTTGTGTTAATGTTTCTTTCTGTTATTCCTTTGCCCCTTCCGATTTTTTCGGCCATTCCTTTTACGTTTTTGCTCAAGCAATTTACGCACCTTTAAAATTTGCTCTGGACGTTTTAATTCATTATTTTTTTTAATCTTTTCCTTTATCTTATGATTGTGTCTTTCCCAGTGTGTATAAGGCACTGATTGTACTAAAATGTATAGAAAATAAACATACATAATATGTACATACTTAGGTAATATATATTATTAAATTTAGATGTTACTTTCACATACATTTTTTAATTTCTGAAGATTCATTTTCGCTGTCATTATCAACAACATGTATTTTACTTTTCTCCTTCCAAGTCGAATAAAGATTTGATTTATAACTGGCAGGTATCCAAACTCCAGACTCTGTTTGTATTTTCTTGACCTTTTGTTCCTTTCAAAAGAATATTTCTTTATAAATAATTTGTTTTTCATAAATTCATTGATAATGTCGGGTACATACATTATTAATCGTAACAATTTTCTTTTTTTTACGATCCCATTTTTTAATTTGCGCCTGTAGTCGCTGAGATTTTTCATTGTCACCAGTTAAATCCATTTGTTCTTTTTCTGCTTCCGTATTAAAAGAGTTAACTGCCAAACTATAACAATATAGTTAAATATATTATATAGTAAAATAATTATTTTTCTAAAAACTTACCCTTCCTCTGTGTGCTTATCTGGAGCGTAATATGGAATAAAAAATTCGTCGTCTCGTGTTATAGACCGTTTTTTCTTTTTGGGTTTATATAAATCATTAAGGTTTCTTTTCTTCGGTAATACAATTGTATCAAATGTTGCATTGATTTCGTCAGTTGTACTTGAAGGAAGACTCGCTGTTTTTGATACATCTGCAATATATCATAAATCATTAAATAACGCCGTATTAGTAAAATTTGCGCTAACTTAATTAAAGTTCATATTCACCTTCTGACTTCTTTTTAGCTTCTAACTCATCTACCTTCCTATGAAAATTTATGATATTTTCTTTATGTAACGTTCGTTTTTTTTTCATAACTTGGTAATCAATAGATGATGCTTTTGCGCCAATTTCAAATATTGTCTGTGACAAATATTTGTACTTAATAACTAAATATTACATATATCTAACAACACATTAATATAAATTTTGTAAATATACATACTCCTTGTGGTTTATAATTTACTATCTTTGATAATAAGTTCACAGTACTAGAAGAAACGTCAGAATACTCTGGTATAATACCTGCTTCACTAATATGTAATTCCTTTACCCTTTTAATACTTTCTGACGAAGCTGAAGGCCGTGACCGAATATACTGTTTATATGCATTGTCACAAACTTTCTCCATATTTTTCTGCAATTTTTTGTAAATGTAAAAACGGTAATACTTTTTTAAAACAAATATGGTGAAAATGCATACAAGATCTGTAGAACGATTATGCCAATTTATTAATTCCATAAGTTCTTCTTCTATCATAGCTTGTGGCATTTTACCAATAATACCATCTTTATTTTCTGTTGATCCAGAAGGTGATACAATATGCAATGGACGTCCAAGGAAAAGATGTAAATCTAACAAATAAGCATATTCATCTGGACTTACAATGTTGTATGCAGTACCGGTACGACCCGCTCGAGCACAACGACCTATTACAACAATTATTGATGTTATATAAACTCTTAAGTAATTTAAAACCTAACTTATTTACTTTCCTACTCTATGTACAAAGAGCTTTGGTTTTGCAGGAAAATTAAAATTGATTACATTATCCAAATGTGGAATATCTAAACCTCGTGCTGCAACATCTGTTACTACTAAAACTTTGACTTTACTAGTTTGAAATTTAGCTGCATTTATTTTTCGAGCTGATGCATCCAAATTAGAATAAATGAACGTGCTAGAAATTCCTACTTTTTCCAATACCTATTAATAAAATGCAATTATTAAATACAGAAGAGTATATTAACATTAAATTATTAGTACCACTTATTGCATACTTGGTGAATATATTCAACATGATGCATTGTTGCAGCAAAAATTACTGTTTGTGAATTGCTCTTAGTAACATTTTTTAACAAACACAACAATACTGCCAGTTTTTCCTCTGGTCGACATACTATGAATGAAAGAGCTAATTGTTCTGGTATTTTACTTTCTACATCTAAACGTAGTAAGACTGGATCAGTTAAACCAGCCTTTGCAAAATCTACTAAAAGCTTAGGTAATGTTGCAGAAAATAATAATGTTTGTCGTGCTTCTGGTAATCTATTTGTAATCTCATTAATTTGTTCACCAAAACCCATTTCAAATAATCTGTAACATAATTTATAAATTAGAATCTTATTATTTATAAATTATAATGAAAAGGAATTACAATATTAAAATACATATATTTTACCTGTCAGCTTCATCAAAGACTACATATTCTATATTATGTAATTGTAAATCCATTTCAATACATATATGTAGAAACCTTCCGGGTGTTGCTACTAATATATCAGGGTTTCCATGAATTGCACTGAATTGATTTTCTATACTATCACCTCCCAAAATTACAGCAGCTTTTAAGCCAGTGAATCTACCTAACTCTTTTATAAACTTTAATGTCTGCAATGCTAATTCTCTAGTAGGTGATAAAATTAAAGCTCTAGCACCAGCTTTTGCCTGTCTAATTTTAAGTTTTTCAAACAAAGGAATTAAAAAACAAGCAGTTTTTCCACTACCTGTCCTGGCCATTGCCACTACATCACGACCTTCTAAAGCTAGAGGAATTGTCTGGAAAAATATGATACATTTTATAATATAGAAGAATACAAATATACCAAAGAATAATAATATATAATATCAAGTAATATTATAAAGCATACCTTTCTCTGTATAGGTGTTGGTATTTTATAACCACGCTTTAATATTCCTTTTAATATAGGAAAACTAAGTGCCATGGACTGAAATCCTCCTGATTTTTTATACACTTTCTTTTTAATATTAATAATTTCATTTTCTTCATCATTATCACCTATTTCTTTTGGATCAATAAATCCCACAATATTTATTTCTTTCATTTTAAAGTTTGTTATAGTTTTGTTATAATTATTTGTTTTGATAACACTAAGTTGTGTTAACAATAACTTTAAAAATAAATTACTTAACACGTGATTTTGTTTCACATACTATGATAATTATAAGTCACAGGTAATCTCAGTTTAATTGTTGAATAGCAAAAATTCCGTATTATGCATAAATTACTGCTTACAATTATTATTCCAAAATTATTTTCACTTTTATTATCTCTGTTAAAATAATATTTAATCCTTTTAAACGTATAAAATCATCCATATATTATAAAAATTTATAGAGGTACGTATTTATTTAACGTCTTTATATTAAATGCCTTTATTTTACGTTATACAATTATCCCATTTACTAATACATATGCATATATAAATAAGTATACATAAACATTTAAGTATATGTATATTTTTTCTAGCATTTTCAATTGTTAATTTATTTAATTTTATTAAATGCATATATAAATTAATTTTTAACGTATTGGCAGCACTTAATACACATTCTACCATATTGTATTTAAGAAGACAGCCATTTTTGTGGCATCTGTCTTTCCTTCATAATTCAACATGAAGTAAGTATAAGTTTCAAAGAGATATATCCACTAAAATAAGTGCAATCATTCAAAATTGTTTCAATATATTGAAATAATTGTCCCATTAAAATACTTGTCACAAATATGTTATCAATCTTTTCAGGATCGGTCTTTGTGCGTATAGTGGATATAAAATATATCCTGGTCATGGTAAAACTATGGTTAAGGTGGACGGAAAGGTATGTATTAATAAAATTTATATACTCTAATTAGTTTTATTAAATTTTGAATACTGTAGTTATTTTATTATTCAATAGTATTAATTTCATGTTTATTTATATTGATCTGATTATAACCTCTATATTTTTACAGACGTTCACTTTTTTAAACTCAAAATGTGAATCTGCACATTTAATGAGGCGCAATCCAAGGAAAGTCACATGGACTGTACTATATAGGTATTTATATTTATTTTTTAATTTCTTTATATTTTATATCTTATGATATATTTCATAATGTTATAGACGAAAACATAAAAAGGGGCAGGAAGAAGAACAAGCAAAAAAGAGAACACGACGAACACAAAAATTTCAACGTGCTATTGTAGGTGCATCACTTACTGATATTTTAGCAAAACGTAACATGAAACCAGAAATTCGTAAAGCACAGAGAGAACAAGCAATTAAGTAAGTACTTAAGTGTAAACAGATATAGACTTATGTATTTCAATTTATCTTACAAATAAAAAATTTGATATAGACATCTGTTCCTTTAATATGATATTTAATATCATATTTAATTTCAGAATGTCTTAAAACAAATGAATTGCTTCACCCAGAATTGTTATATCTTTCACACTGTCTGGCTTTTGCGGGTTCATACAAATTTCATAATGTTATATTTTTTGTTACTCATAATTTATAATACATGTATATTAATTTCTTATTGTAGAGCTGCAAAGGAACAGAAAAAAGCTGCAAAAGCAACAAAGAAAGTGTCTGTACCTCAGAAACCTTTAAAGAGTATGCCAAAGCATAAAGCTGCAAAAGTAACACAGAAATCAGCTCCACGCGTTGGTGGAAAACGTTAAATTTCATTATTGTATAAATAAAAAAAGACTTTATATTTAATACATTTATTTATTTTCCCAAAAAGTATCTTTTATCAATTAATAAGTATTAAAGTCGTAAAATTATTTTTTATAAACAAACTGTATTGATAAAAAATCACATGAATTTTAAACTTTATACCATACTACTTAATAGCCAACAGATTCAGTTTCAGTGTGTCAATGTGCTAGTAATTCTATTTATTTGTATTCAATTCTTTTTTTAATAAAGATAATTTTATTAAAGCTTCATCTCTCCATGCGCGTCTTTCTTGCAGTTTGTTTAGTGGACATATTTCATTTAATTCATTGCTGATTTTTTCTGCCATTTCACCTTCAAATTTAGGAACTGGACCAAACGTCATACTTACATCATAAATCGAATTTTTGTATGTTTCACAGTATTTCTTCATTCCTAAAAAAAAAAAAAAAGGGTTATATAATGAAGTAATTTAATAAATTAGTTTGTTTTTTATAAACAATAAAAATATATTACCTTCTGCATTTAAATGTGCCGCTTCAAAAGCACCGAGAAACGCATATCGCATCCCAAGACCTTCACTCATGACTGCATCCACGTCCTTTACACTTAATATTCCATCAGCTACTAATCTCCATGTTTCATTTAAAATTGCATATCTGAATATAATATCGATAATCAATAAAAAGTTGGGGTGAAAAGCACAAACTTTTAAATATACATTGACAAAAAAATTACGTACTGTATTCGATTAAGTGCAAAACCATCAATTTCTTTATTAAATACAACAGGTGTTTGTCCTATCTCAGTCATAATAGCTTTCGTTTGCAACGGTATCTCAGCCCGAGTCCAAGGAGCTGGCACAATCTCTACAAGCGGCACGTAGTATGGAGGATTTACCTGTATTTAGAATATTTTAAATCTTTAGTTATTTATACAACATTTTTTAAATCAAAAATTTTTTTATTATTATTACTTCATACTTATTGTTCAAAAGTATACGTACAGGATGAGTTACAATAACTTGTTCACGATGTTTTAATTTTTCGCTAAACAGAGATGGACAGAAAGTAGATGTGGAAGAAGATAAAATCACTTTATTATCGACTAAATTGTCAAGTTCATTGTAGACCTTAACTTTCAATGATAAATTTTCAGGAACGCATTCTTGTATAAATTTGGCTCCTTTTACAACTTCGGCTAAATTAGACGATCCTATTAATCGATTAAATTCGTTGTAATACGTAACCAATTTAATATGTTAATACATAATTCATATATAATATATATTATATAAATGTTATGAATGATTCGTTATATGTATATATAAATATATATAATATACAGCATATGTACGAACCATTAATTAATTTAAATTGCTGATCTGCGGTAAGTGACCCTCTCAAAAGACCAGCACTTTCGAGACGCTTCAGTTGCTGTTGAATATCTTCGAGAGCACGATTGATTTGTTCTTTTACAATATCATAAATAATCACTTTGTAACCTACACTAGCAAAAAGCATTGCCCAACTGCGACCAATTAAGCCGCTAAAATAAAAATCATATTATTACTATATTTTGAATTAAATTAATGCCTTTAATATTAATATCATTTTTCACGGTAATTTCTTATTATAAGATGTGTTATTTAAATGAGGTATTAAATTTAAAATTTTTATAATATTAAATTACAAATCTAACATGATATTATTATTTGAAAAGAGTTGTTTTCAAAATCATATACATATATAATATATCTGTTTATCGTTTAATATTACTACTATTATCTTATCAATAGACGTCCGCGATTCGGGGCATCAGTGGTTTAATTTTTAAGTGAACTACAGTTTAGAAATATTTTGATTATAAAAATAGATAAATGTAATCTTCTATTTTTCTTAATATCCTTATAAATGTAATTTTGTATCTGCAGTGAAAAATTAATATTAAATATAATTGCATATGTACTTTCTTTTATCCTTAATGAAACTGAAGGTCGGAAATAATTAATATTTTTAATTTTATTTGACTAACTTTCATTACCTGCCAATTATTCCAATTTTTTCATCCTTAAACGACATTGTCGAATATCTGATCACTTTAAGATATGTATAAAATATATAAAGTTCACTCTCCGAAAGGTGCCAGAAGTGTAAGTAAGTAACATGTTGTCTGATGCTATATAACTTGTCTTTCTAATGTATACGTACAGCTATTCTTAAGATATCCCCACCATTGACAAATGTTAATCTGACAAGACATAGGTTTTATTAAATTTGATGATACATAAAAGCAATTTTCATTAATAATTATCCGATTTATCTGATTTATTTGACCTCGGTAGAATATTTCGAAAACGACAAGAAATAAAAAAAGAAAATGTTAAAACAAAAATTGTTTAATATGAAGAAGAACATAATGTAATATAAATCTTTATGAAAGAAGTAGTGGATGAAATGTCAAGGTCAAGTTACTCCTTTTTACGACAAAAAATTAAACAAATTTTTTTAAATTTCGCTACAAGTTGCGATCGATAGATCATTACAAATTTGCCTGTGAGCAATGACCGTAAGACCAATCACGTTATCACGATAGCTAGATGAATGTATGCTATAAATGTTTATATGATTCGGTGATTTTAAAACTTTCCACTGAATAAAATGGCACTGTTAATAGCTCATTGGATTCGTATTAATGTATGTTTTTTTATTATATATAAAAAAATATAACATTCCATTAAAAAAAAATAACTTGACCTTGATATCTCATTCATCATTTCATTCACATAAATATTTATACTATATTATGTCCTCCTTCGTACCAAATAATTTTTGTTTTAACATTTCTTTCCTATATTTCGCCGTTTCACAGATATTACACCGAGTATAGATAAAACAGCAGACACCCAGTATATATAACAAAGAGAATACATATAATTTGACATAATCAATAAATACATATGAATATCATAGTTTTTAATATTATTGTTTATAGAATTTATGTAAAATTGATACATTGGAAAGGATCCAATAATTACTTGCATACTGCAGCTTTTTTCTTGTAGAAAATTAATCTGTAAAGAATGATTGGTTGTTACCGCAGTTAGATGGGGAAAAACCTACATTTCGCGTCAAGGTTATATTCTGACGCATTGTTAAGATAAGTAATATTCATATTCTGTGAGTACGTAAATATTTCAAGAGGTATTATCTGCTTATCAAAGCTAATATAACTTTTTAAGTTTCTGATGTACCTATTTAGTTTTTAATATTCGTTATTTATAAATATTATCTTATTTGAATTAAAGAACATTCGTTTAATTGTATAAATTTCTTTGTATATTCACAATGTTTGAAGTTTACGAAAACAATACAATTTTAGACCCCACTTCTGAAATCCAGGATTTTGCCTGTTATGGATATGGTAATTATTCATTTACTTTTAATTTCAGTATTTCAAAAAAAAGTATGACATGATTTCATAAGTTTAATATAAAATCATAATTTAAATTATTCTAAGTATATTTATATATAGTAAAGGGACATATTTACAAATGCATTATTTTTTCAAAGATTTACAGACAATGAATATCCAAGGTACTTGTAGTCCACTTAGTGGATCTCAAGGGACAGCAAGTGTTAATTCGCCTATATCTACTGCAATGTCACCATTTCAAGCCACTGATTTTATATCATTAAATGATGCGACAGGTATAATGTTTTCTTATATTATATAAATTATTTGTTTCCTTTTATGTTAAGTTTTTAAAAAATATGTCATTGTTTTTGTTCAAGTCTTTGAAGTACCATATTTAACAATTTTGGAACAACCAGTAGAAAAGTTTAGATTTCGGTACAAGTCAGAAATGGTAGGAACACATGGAAGTCTGGTGGGTTCAAATAGTAACAGTAATCGTCATAAGAATGCACCAACAGTACAAGTATGTATATGTTTCATATTAACAATAATAAAAAATGGTTTTAACTTATTTAAATAATTAATAAATATCTCTAATATGTTATTTAGTTACATAATTTTATGGAAACTGCAATAATACAATGTACTTTGGTTACAAGTAATGAAGGTCAAAGAATTCCGCATGCTCATAGATTAGTTCATAGAGATGGTGGTATGGATTATGATGATCCACATTATGTTAAAGTATCTGCAGATACTGGATATACTGCAACGTATGTTGTATAATATTCCTTTGTTAATTTAATAAAATTAAATTTAATTAAAATAACATTACTAATAGTATCTATTGTTTTACTACTCATTTCTATTATTTATCATTAACATTATAATATAATATTTAGATTTCATGGAATGGCAATTATACACACTGCAAAAAAATATGTTAAAGATGAACTTATAAAAAAAATGAGGAGGGAAGCTTTACAAAAGAAAAAGAGTACCAATATAAATGCAACTCTTAGCACACGAGAAGACACGCAGGTATGTTATTTTATCATATATACTAATTATTCTAAGTTATTTCAAACATAAGATTATGAAAATGTAAGCTAGAGGAAATTTAATTAAGAAAGCATTTCACCTTAAAGATTAAATCTGATGCTGAATGCCACCAAAAGCATGTAAATTTGAATAGTGTTGCACTGTGCTTTCAAGCATTTATTTTGGATGAACATGAAAATATGATACCATTAACGGAACCTGTATATTCAAATGCTATTAATAATCTCAGTAAGTAAAAAGTAACAGTATATTTAAATCGACATATATCGACAAAATAATATAAAAAAATGTTTTGTAATTTAACAGAGAGTGCATTAACTGGAGAACTAAAAATATGCAGACTTGATAAACATACTAGTAGTGTTGAAGGAGATGAGGAAATATTTATACTTGTAGAGAAAGTGCAAAAAAGTAATTATCGACATGTATATATTCAGTAAAAATTTATTGATGTGACAAAATATAAAAAACAATAATTTTATATAAATATTTTTAATTTAATACTTTTGTTGCAGGAAATATTAAGATAAAATTTTTTGAATTAAATGAAGATGATTGTGAAATTTGGAGTGCATATGGTCGTTTTTCAGAATTAGATGTCCATCATCAATATGCTATTGTATTTCGGTGTAGTAGACTATCAAAAATAAACTACCTTAATATTTTTTCAATGGTTATAAGGGATAAATACAATATGGGAGAAAAATTTAATCTCATTTTCCTCGAAAACGCGGCTTCGAATAAAAAAATATTACTTCCTTTTTTCTCCATTTATTTTATTAGTTTGGAAGTGCCTTGTGTTTGTCCCTTGTATTTGATTATTGATATTTTACTAACATTTATATAACGTTAGTACAATGATGAAAGATTTTTATATTGATATATAATAATTATTGTTTTTCTTTCTTTTTTTTCTTATAGAACTCCACCTTATAGAGACTGCAATATTACTTCTCCAAAAGAAGTTTTTATACAGTTAGAACGGGGATCTGATGGAGGTTGTTCTGATCCAAAAAAGTTTATTTACAAACCAAGCGATAAAATTATAGGTAAATTACATATAAGTTAAATTGTTTATAAATTTAAAGTAAATTTAAAATGAAAATAATATATATTTAGGTAGAAAACGTCAACGAATGTCTCACTCTGGAAGTTCAGAATTATCATATATACAACCAACTTCTAATCATACTAGCTTTGAAAGCATATCAGAGATTTTAAATGGTAATAGTCAAGAAATTTCTAAAGAATTAAAAGAAATTTTGTCCGAAGGTGTTACATCGCCATTGAACAAAGATTTCCTTGACAATATAGATTTTGACAGTAAGTATACTTGCCAGTAATTGTGAAAGTGCTAATAAAACTGAAAGAAATGATTTTATCATTTATTTTGTGTTGCATTCATCTATATTGCAATAAAGATATTTTTGCTAAAATAACGAAAAATCGACTTATTAAATTGAGTTTGTAATTTTATCGTGATTAACTTTTTACTTTATAATATATTTAAAGCACAAAACTTCTAATATTTGGAAATGAAATACATATATTAGTTCACTTTCATAATCACTAGCATAGACAAATCTTTACTTTCCAAAACCTGAGTTTGTTTAGGAAAATTTTTATTTTACTTTTTTGTAGAATATTTATTACATATTAGCAACGGTGATGAGAATGCATTAGTTTTTGATGGCTCATCAACTATGCAAGTACGTATTCTTTATTTCCTATTTATATGTTAATATATTTGCACAATATATTTTGTAATTAATCAGTAATATTGATATCTCTTTTATTAGCATCAAGATGATATAATGTTCGCTAGAAATACACTTATTGAAATTATGCAATGTATGAAAAAGGATGTAAAAGGTGTAAAAGAACATATTCAAAAACTGCTTAAAGTTCGATCGACATATGGGGATTCTCCATTGCATGCAGCACTTCGTTACGATCAACGTGATATTGTTAAATACTTCTTATTGTTATTGAGTACTAATAAAGATTGTAAGACACTTGTCAATAGTCAAAATAGTTCTGGAAAAGTAAATATTTTTTTATTCATATATATATTACATATAATACATTATAATGAACATAATATTTTGTTTAGACACCATTACATTATGCTGTTTTACAAAACCGACCAGGAATTACAAAAGCATTACTTATACTTGGAGCTGATCCAAATCGTACAGATGAGCATGGATTTTCTCCACTACATGTAGCTGTGAAAAGTAAGCTGAAATGTTGAAGAAAATCAATACACGTGAAAATCATATCATAGAACTATTTTAATGTGTATAAAGGAAAGTAAAGTCTTAATAGAATCATTCATTTTAGACCGCGAAGATGCTGTTTGTGTTGATGTGCTATTATCTGAGAAAGGGACTAATATTGAAGTTTACAATGATGCTGGATGGACACCATTACATCTCGCAGCACAAGCAGGATCATATGATGCTGTATGTTCACTTCATCGTGCAGGTGCAAATGTAAATAGTACTGATATGTCTTATGGTCGAACAGCATTACATGTAGCTGTTGAAGGAGGTCATAAAAATATAGTTGAATATTTATTGAAAAAGGTATACTGCTTATGTATACTACTTATTACTTTTACTTATTACTTATTATTAATTATGGGTATCATATGATTTGATGCTTATGCTATTACAGACGAATATATCGGTAAATAAAAGAAATTTTAGTGGAAATACTGCTTTACATACTGCAGTTGTATATACAGGAACGCGAGCGAACGAACTATGTGCATTGCTAATACAACATGGTGCAGATCCACACATTCAAAATCATAATCGAGACTCAAATGACGTATGTTATTTTTTTCTATAAAAAATTTTATTTCTTCTTTTTTGTTGTTTAAATATGTAAAATTTTTTATTTGATTTATTCATATATATTCAATAGGTAGGTGCAAAGGATGAATCATGTATTAATGTAAAAGTTGAAGCAGATTTAGATGATGAAAATACAGAAAAAACTATTGGGCAGTCATCATTTGATTTGGCTATGAATAAACCAGACGTAATTATTATTTTACATTCATAGAAATAAATTTGAATACAATAAATTAATAATAGTATTAATTTAAAAATTTAATATAAATATTAATTTCTAAATCGGATAAATATGGTAAATTTCTAGATTAATGAAACATTTTTTGTAAAGATTTTACAGTTGCTTAATGTCCAATCTGAGGAAACCACAAAGGCAGTGTGTTCAGTTGCTACAAAATTAGAATTAAAAGATGAAGTATCAGAAATCAGTTTGTTAAACAATGAACATAAACAAAAGTTATCCATTTTATTAGACAAAACACAAGGATGGCTTAAACTTGCAAAACATTTAAATATTGAACACTTGTTAAGAACATTTCAGCACAGTTCAAGTCCATCATTGATTCTTTTAAATTACATTGATGTAAGTTTACATATTATATTTTTTAGTTACAAAATTCTTGAATGTTTGTGTCATAAGATGTATAAAAAATTGTTTAGGTAGACGCATCTGTAACACTCATGGATGTACAAACTATGTTAAGTGAAATTGGAGAGGAAGAAGCAGCTGATTATATAAATGAAATTTTATCTATATGTTCATAAAATTCATTTGTCTGTTATTAAATATATTTATATTATGTAATAATATATATAATATAATATGTATCAGTATCATGTAAAATATACATAAATATTTTTTTAAGTTTGTTAATTAAATCTATTAAAATATAATGTTTTTTGTAATTTCAACGAATATAAGTAAATATATGTAGCATATTTGAACATGGAAAAGTAAATTATATTTTAATTTTCCCTGTTTAGGTTTGAAAAAAATGTCACATTGAGTCTTTTGAGATTAAAATAGTTTATTGCATAAACTAAATATAACTTCTTCAATTTATTTTATTGCAATACAATATAGATAATACTTGATATGCTTAACCAAACATTAATCTACTTCTTATCGTCCCAACCTATCAAACGATTGATTTTTTTTATATTTGTTTGAAAATTTTTATTTTCTTTAAAAATGTATCATATTGCATTATTGAACATTTTGACGACATCCTGCATATATTAACATATTTATATTCAAAATAAAATGCTTTTTTTTAACTAAAGTGTGTGTTGAATTGTGGAATTCAACAGAACAGCTGTTACATATAGTATATTATTCATTTCTTTTCAAAAAGGTTATTGAAGTGTTGGAGATTGTATTGTATTTTTTTCTTTCACTTTTAAATATTTGTACAATTTATGTCATAATTATCAAACTTGGATATTGAAATGAGTCACATATTTACGGGAGGCGGATCGTTTCTAATTTTATAAAAGGATATTGTGTTGAATTAGAATAATATTAAAGTAAAAGTTCTATTTTTTTAAATTAATAATTAATTACATTAAAATTTAAAGAAAATGGATAAATTAAGGAGAGCATTAAGTGGTAATGATCAATGTGATGAAGAAAGTGGTATTATTACTCAGGTAATTAATGTCATATTAAAGTTGTATAACTTTCAATAACATTACTCTTTTCTTACACGTAATTTCATTTTATTTATGTAAAACTGTCATTTTAAATGCATACAATTTTTAATGGAAGACTGATGTGGATTTTGTGGTAAGCTTATAAAGTAAAAAGAACATAAGATTTTATATATTTAAAAAAGAAGACATTTATTAGCAATGAAATTATTTTTTAATATAAACCAAATTGTATAATTTTTTATTTTTAGGTTATGAATGAAAGTACGTTAAGTTGGTCAACTCGAATAAAAGGTTTTGCTATTTGTTTTATTGTTGGTCTTCTCTGCTCCTTCCTTGGATCCTTTGCATTATTTTTACACAGAGGACTTACAGTATTTGCTATATTTTATACATTAGGGAATATCATCTCATTAACAAGGTAGAATAGTATATTTAAATTAAACAACATTAAACTTTTATATAGGTATTTCCTTTAAAAGTCTCTTTATTTACCAAAAGATATAACATTGAATAATTCAATAAATACATTATATTATAAAAATTATTTTAGCATGAAATTAGTGTAATATATATTTTCAGTAATCCCTTATTTTCTTATAAGTATATATAATGATCTTTTGTATGTAATTTATAAAAAAATATAACAATAGGTCTACTAAACACAATATGTTTTTTATTTTATTCATAGCACATGTTTTCTAATGGGTCCATTCAATCAGTTTAAGAAAATGTTTGCAACTACAAGAGTGATTGCAACTATTTTAGTATTTGCGGCAATTGCATTAACATTATTTGCAGCTTTACATGTGAGTATACTATTAAAATTCATAATATATAAATATTATAATAATATAATTTTTGATTTAATTAACATGCATCTTTTCAGCTGAAGAATGCTGGATTGGCTCTTTTATTTATAATTATTCAATCATTGGCAATGACTTGGTATTCTTTGTCGTATATTCCCTATGCACGTGATGCTGTTAAAAAGACTATTGAATCATGTATCACATGAAAAAGTTGACAAAACATACAATAAACTATCTCACTTAATAAACATGTTAATATTTGTACATTGTTATTTTATATTACACAAGTTATGAACTGAAATATGAAACAGACTTAAAGCACAATATAACATTAATTAAATAGAAATTATAACAATTAAGATACATACATACCTCATATGATAAGATGTCTTTAAATATATATTAAGTATTGTAATATTTGTAATATCATTGTAATTAATTGAATTTACTAAGTTCACATAAAATATATAATATTTTCATATTATTTCTTTTATAGTTATAATGTAATTTTTGTGAAGTAATTAATAATTTTGTATATTAAATAAATATAAAATTATTTTGTGTCTTTTTTTATATTGTTTCCGATATATGTTTCTATTACTTACTTATTTCTTCTATTACATTTACATTTTTTGTGAACACACATATAATTATATTAATCACTAATATACGTGACACTAAATTATGCTAATGATAATCTAATCTTTTAGTGTTTGTTTTTCAATACAGATAAGCATTAAAAAAGAAGAAATATAAAAACAAATATAAAATATTAATAAAATCAAAATGCTTTATTATGACATTATTGCTTCGCTAAATGCTATAGACATTGTCATATTTTAAAACTATTATAATAATTATAAATAAATAATAGAAGTTAAATAGATTAATTTATATTAATATTATAAATTAGTACGAAGTTTATAAAGGTAAATGGTATTTTGATTAGTTTATTTTAATTTAAAAATTGAACGTTAAATATTGAATAACCAATCATCTATCATCATAATTGCAACTACCAATCATAATTCAAACTGTTATTTCGTCATACACAGATGGCAGTTCTAATTGGATGAAGATATAAACAATAATTTCTTTTACGTCCTTCGATCAGCAGCAACAGGTTCTAAGTACAAAGAAAATTCTTCAGCAGCCATTATACCTTCTACGCGCGGGTCGCGAACGGTTCACGAAGTGTTCGATAAGCTACGTTCTATTTTGCATATCTTAATATTTGTTGACACACTTACAGTAAGTGAAATTTCTGGATTTTAATATATATCTAAAATTAGACTATAGATAGATATCATATAATGTAAAGAACAACTAAAAAAAAGTGGTAAATAACCGTTAGGAAACTTAGATTTGAAATATCGAAATATTTTAGTGCAGTTTGCAATGTAATACCATGTTTGCATTCATAATACCTTTTTGACTGACTAGTACAATTATTATATTCAATTACGTCATAATCATTATATACATAATTAGTAAATAGAAAGCAATAATTTCATTTTTTTTTTATTGTACGACTGTTATAATCTATTATATTTATTTTATAATTTCATATATTAGCGACTATTACCGTTTATGTTTTTACAGAGGAAAATTTATATTCCATTTCCTTAATTTAAAAATGCCTGCACCAGAAGCTGATTGCCATAATCGTAAAGCTAATTTTAAATTCAATTATAAACATGAGGTATGTTTTCATATTTGTGAAATATACGTTACATTTAAATTTATTAAATATTGTTTTATGTACTTTATTTAATAAATAGTTCATATAAGATTATATAATTTGTCACTATAGGAGGCACGTAGAAGAAGGAGTGAAATATCTGTGGAATTACGTAAAGCTAGAAAAGATGAACAGTTACTAAAACGGCGAAATTTGAATATAGGAAAAGAATCACAGAATCCTGTGAATGAAAGTAACCTTTCACCAATTTCTACATCTATAGAAGAAATTGTTAATGCTATGAAATCTTTGGATGAAACAGTTCAACTCCTAGCCACGCAGTCATGTAGAAAAATGTTAAGCCGAGAAAAAAATCCACCTATAGACTGTATGATACAACGTGGAATTGTTCCACTGTGTGTTAAATTTTTGGATTATCATCACAAGTATGTAATTTGAAATTATTTTAATTTAATTTTATTAATTTATAAATTATTTATTATTATTTATATAAAATATTTGCAGTGATGCATTGCAATTTGAAGCAGCATGGGCTCTGACAAATGTAGCATCTGGTACATCAGAACAAACTCATGTTGTTGTTAAACATGGTGCTATACCAAAATTGGTTGCATTACTTAAATCTGCATCATCCAATGTTGCTGAACAAGCAGTGTGGGCACTTGGAAACATTGCTGGAGATGGACCTGTAACCCGGGATATTGTTCTTCGATATGATGCTATGCCACTTTTACTAGAATTAATTAAACCTGATACATCTGTTTGTATTTAAATAAAATATCTATTTTAATATAGTTATAATAATATTAATAAATTTATTATTGTTACAGGTAACATTTACACGTAACATCGTATGGACATTGTCAAATTTATGCCGTAATAAAAATCCTCCACCTCCATTTGAAGTTGTAAGAACTGCTCTTCCAGTGTTAAATCGTTTACTTAGTAATAGTGATAAAGATATACTTGGTAAATTAGTTATACTTATTTATGACTTATTGTATTTTTAATTGTAATAGGAATTTTATAATTATAAATGATTTTTCTATTATAGCTGATGCTTGCTGGGCTCTTTCATATCTTACGGATGGTTCCAATGATAAAATACAAGCAGTTGTCGAGTGTGGAGTTATACCAAAACTTGTACAATTACTTGCTTCAAACGAAGTGACAGTCTTGACACCAGCACTTCGGGCTGTTGGAAATATAGTTACAGGCAATGATCTGCAAACTGATGCGATAATATCAGCAGGTGGCTTGCAACATTTGGGATTATTGCTACAACATCATCGTATTAATATTGTTAAAGAGGCAGCATGGACTATAAGTAATATTACCGCTGGAAACATGGAACAAATTCAACAAGTTATAAATGCTGGATTGTTGCCACCTTTGATACGTGTTCTACAATCTGTAAATAAATCATATTTTTCATTAACTGTTCAATTAAATTCAATTAATTATACATTTTAATATAATTGTTTGTTATTTTGTAGGGCGATCTTAAATCTCAAAAGGAGGCAGCATGGGCAGTAACAAACTTAACTTCAGGTGGATCTGTGCAACAGTTAGCCCAATTAGTACAACTGGGAGTGCTTGCACCATTTTGTAACCTTCTAGATGCAAAGGATTGGAAAACAATAATAGTTGTTCTTGACGGTTTAACTAATATTTTCAATGCAGCGGCAAAAATGGGGGAAATTGAACGAGTAGCTATTATGATAGAAGAAATTGGTGGTTTGGACAAACTAGAAGCCCTTCAGAATCATGATGTAGAACAAGTATATCAAAAAGCTACTGCAATGATAGATACTTTCTTTTCAGACGCGGTAAGAAATTTTATGATAATTTAACATTGAACCACCAATAATGATATACTTACTTCAATATTGCATCAATCTTTTATATTAAAATAGGATGCTGAAGAATCAACATTGACGACACCTACTGCAACTGATGAACCATTGGAATTTAAACCAATTGAGACAGCACAAAAGCATTTCAATTTTTAAAATTTCTTTATCAATCTTATGATATTTAATATACTAGAGTGTGTTTCAGTTCATTTTGTAAATAGGTTTACACTTTTTCGTCGTTACAAATGAATATTAAAGACAAATTTTTGTTCCTTTTATAATGCTTTATTAACATTTTGTGTGTTCTATGATATCGATTTCCATTTAATGTTCCTTTTTATAAATAGATTTAAAGTTGCAGTTTATTTATCTACAGTTCCCTTTACCATTTTTAATAATTGTAGTTTCAGAATCCGTTTTCTATATTAATTATGTATTTTGTGATATTCTAATAATTATTTTTAAATTCATTTTAATATGTTGTATTTTTTCAAATTTAAAACACACATGTACTGAAACATATTTTCAGATTTCATCAGCGTTAAAATTATATCTATCAATTATTTTTGTGTTTTTGCCTTTATTATACACGTAACTGTCATGATTCGTTAAATTATGTGACTATAAATATTATAAGCTATATTACTTGTCACGATTTATATGTATTTTTTAATAAAATTTTGATAAAAGTTAACGTATGTTGATAGTAGTATATTTTCAATAATTATATATAATATAATACAGTCATAAGCGTTGAGTAAAGACAAGTTTGTCAGTTGTTTATACATTTAGAATACCACGATATTAAATACTAATAAATACAAATTAATATAAAATTAACTAAAAATAATTCAAGTAATTTCTTATTATAAATAAATTAATTTGTTACGTACTTAATCATTTTAGGCTACAAAGACTATATGGAATTGTAACACGTATTTCTTATTATCTAACTGAGTATTTCAGTAGCATACAATGTATTTATATATATTTTTATATGTATGCTTCTGAATTGGCAAGTTGTTTACGTGCGTTGTTTCATAAAAACTTTGTTCGCATAATTGTTAAGTACTAATTATAGAAATATTAATGTTGCAAAATATTTATCTAACATACTGCTACTTATATGATTATTTTCACGTAAACAAAACACTTGAAATGTTTTGTATCTTTTAAAGCTTGCATTAGCTGAATCTCATTTAACAAATACTTGTTTTATAAGTTTTAGATACTACTATCGACCAAGAATAAAGTCGCTTTGATCATTTACTAAAAAGTGATAAACAAATGCTGCTTTCTTTCGGTCAATCGTTGCTTGAACAACATGAGTACGACTTCGTTGGTTTCTATCGCTTCTACTTCTTGGTGGATCCCTTAAGAAAATTGATCCAAATATTGTTGCTATAAAATGAATAAATAAATAAATTTATTAGTTATGATAATAAATAAATTAAGTAAAATATTACCGAGGGTTTTGGCATCCAATTCATTGTCTTGGGTATAATTTAATAATTCTTGTAAAAAATAACATATGTAAACAAAAACTGTTCTCCTTATTTCTGGAAGTTGCATCACAATCTAAAGAAAATAAATTAAAATAGTAGAAAACATGCATAATATTATTTTTTTTTAAAAGATTATATATTCAGTCACCTGTTTACACTGTAAATAATTTGTTGCTGCAGATACACACACACTGTGCAGATTGTATGGGATTAAAGGTTCAGCTGTAGATTCTAAAAGTAAGAGTAACGCTTCTGCAACTGAATGTACGCTACCAGCTTTGTAAAAGTCAAGGAATTTTAAAATGATTTATAGTAATGTATAATATTGTAAGTTGGATATTTAGATTAGGATACGCATTGGATCTTGACTCCAATTGTCTAACCAATCTCTTATAGCTATAATTTCACTCGGAAGTCCGGATGTTTTAAAAAGCCCCGTTGTTTTTATACCATGTCGATATAATCTATCAACTAATAGCCATATTTCTTTCGGTATTGCATATGGTTCTTGCGAAAGATTTTTATTATTTTCCTATGATATAGTGAAATAGATTAACAACAGTTCAATATAAACACTTTCAAAGAATAATTTAATATAACATTATATATATGTACACTTACGAGTTCCATTAATCTACCGATAGGAATTTCTCTGATTGGTACTGGAATGTGAACTAAAGCTTCCATTGAAGATCCAAAACAACTTCTTTCATAAGTACCTAAGAAAATTATGTAATCTACTGTTTTGTTTTCTAAAAGTGATGTAATATTAAAATATTGCTACCTGTAACAGTTATGAATATATCCTTTCCTCCTTCAAGATGTAATATTAGAATATCGTATAATTTATCTTCTCCAGAATTTAATTTACACGCCGATCTTTTATCAACATATATTTCAAATCTAGTATCACATTTCTCTCCTAAATATAATATATAAACAAGATTATAAAATATCCAATTAGCTAAGAAAAAGGGGAAAAAATCGTACCTGGCTTTATAAAACCTTTAAATGGTTCGATATCTAACCAATCTTTACAATAAGTTGTATCGCCCAATTTTTTTATAAATTCAAATTGAACTGGTACCTATGAATAGTATAATTATTATGCATATAATATATGTATATTCCTTTTTAATTTATTTACCTGACCAGTGTTAGCAATTATAAGTTCTTTGCTGCTAGGTTCAAGAAATTTCAAAGTATCAAATATGATTTCCGTTGTATCAACCATTACTTGTGGTAAAAATTCGTTTTCTAATTTATCAAGTTTCTTCATAACTTCTTCATGAATTTTTCGATACTTTGTCATATCTATGATTCTGATCTATAAATTATTATGAAACATGAAACTAAGAAAAACTAAGTTAAACTAAACTAAGCTAAATATGAAACTAAAATATATAATTATTGCACTATTGAAAAATATTTATATTTACCTGAGAATCAAAAATTGCACTAACTGGTTTATGATCCGAAATTTTCAATTCATTATGGCTTCTATAATCTACTGATGTGATTGCTTCTCCTTTCCATAGTATACGATCACACCATGCTGGTGCTCTGCCCTTTTCGCTATGATTGATGTATTTATGCTTAATATAAAACATTTAAATACAAAGAAAAATTCTTAATGTAATCGTCAAACCTCGAATCCCAATTATCTGTGCCTGGATCATATTTATACGTTGGTTTGAATGTAATTTCTGCTTCTTGAAATCCTTGTAAAACACGTCCTAAACGACGCTGTTGACCTAACTGATCTAAAGCTAAGACAGGAGCATAGTTTCCTGCATCTATATGTTGCTTAGCAACTGTAACATCCATTTCGGTTATTCGATAATTTAGATCTCCTAACCAATAGATCTGGCTACAGTAAAAATTGTTGTGTTTTTAAATATATTTCTATTAATATATATTTTGAAATAATAATAAGTGAATAAAATACGCACTCGTGATCTTTAAAATTTTTAGGTGGAACATATTTTGCAAAAGATAATCGTGCACAAATATCCGCATAGTCTTGATTCCGTCTTTCGTATTCTTCGCAATGTGCTGCTAAATGAGCGTTAACGAAACAAATAGATGTATTGTGAATAGAACAGCTTACTGCTACTCCTCCTTTATTTCCCTGATAATGTTAAATTCATTAGAATATTTTATATATTGTGTTTTGAGATTTTGAAGCATATAAAATATATTAAAATTATTACCATTTTGCCCATAATTCCAGTTCCTACTGTATCAACTGATACATCTTTTATATATGGTACATGATTCTGCAGAGCATATATAAGTAACATCATACCCACTAATCTTACAATAGCTACTTGTTCATAAGCACCCTCTGGATGAAGAGATTTTGCTACCACTTGTCTACACACATGTAACAAAATAAATAACAATAATACTGAAATATCGTTTAATAACATATTTGCATAGGTATTAAGTCATAAGTATTTTCTTGTAAATTGATACCTCCATTCTTCTTCTCTTGGAGTGTCATTGAAAAGAAATGCTTCTTTAGTTAAATCTAATTCCTGAAATCCAATTGCATACATATCAGGAGGTGTTTTGTCATAACTCAAACACTCGTTTAATTTAATACCATTTGGTGGTTGGCCATTTACATTCCATGTAGCAATAAATATTCTATAATAAATATAAAATTAAAGATTAATTACAGATTATAACAAATAAAAATGTATATTTCATTTAAGTAAGAATTTATATTTAACATTTAAAGAAAGTAAAACAAACCGAAATGTTTTACTGTATGTATAATCATCCTCCTTGCATGCCATTTGATACCGTACTACTGATTCTCTGGCAGCAACTGGAGATTTTCCAGAAGCAATACTGTGTCTTGTTAAGTCTAATACTGGGCTTTCTAAATCTACCAACTATAAAAATATTTTTAAATTTTCATTATTTTTAGTTTTTATATAAATGTAATTATTTTAGTATATAATTTACTAACAGGATCAGTATTATCTTGTACTTCTTCATTGGCAGTAGAATTTAAATTACGTATATTTCCTGTTAGTTTCTGAACCCATAAAAATTCTGATGCTGAATTCTTTGTTTTTTGATATACTATAATGATTAAAAACCATACATTAAGAATTATTAATATAAATATTAAGTAATTAATTTATATGTAACATATACTTACCCTCTATAGCTCTAAATATTTCAGACACCAAAGAGCTAGTTGCAACTCCAGGTCTCATTTCAAATGCCAAATGTAATTTTCTCGATGTGACACTGAGATAAACATCTAAACCATCTTGTTGCTTTTCATCAGTATCTAATACATAATATTTGTTAGATAATACATAATAATAAGATTATTATAATAATTCCTTATGTACATGTACATAATTGAACAAAATTACATACTTATATTGCATTTAAAATCTTGATCAATAGGCAATACTCTTTCTATGGTAAGATCACTATAAACTTGAGGAGATGTTCTTGAAGTAATTAAAATAGCTAATGCATGAGTGGTTCCCTTGTTAAGAAGAGCTACAATTCGTGCACCTTTGACCCAACCTTGTGTCAATGATGCTTCCATTGCCTTTATATATGATTAAGGATTCATAATAGCTTCTTTACATTTTTTAAATTCTGTACTTTTAATATTTTTAAAAATATGAAAATTAATAATCTTGGTTTCTACTAAAAGGATACAATTATTACAGTCTCCCCTGAGACAAATTTTGATTGCACAATCATTGATTGTTCTGATGATGACATATTTATTGATAAAATATTTTATATTCCACTGAACTTAATGTGAAGACCTTACGTAGTATGTGAACACTATTCATATAAATATAATTAGATTAATGAACTTACATGGTACTTGATATTTGAATATTTGTTTATCGTAGTGTCTAATAAGAATAACAATTGAGAATTGTCATAATGCACGTATATTAACAATAATGAAGTAAAATAATTTTAATAATATCAACAAAACACTTTTTATAAAATTAAGTAAAATAATTATTTTTTGTTGTTAAGTTTCCGTTATGAAATGTTTCTCGCTCTTGTATAAAACATTACCTATATTATTTGTATTGAAACTTAACTATCACTGCATTTTTGTTTTATAGTTTATTATATTTCTTTAAAATATGTCCCAATATTATTGCTAAATAATTTATATCGTATTATTTAATTTATCACTGAACAAATAAGAATGATAAAGTATGGTAATTGACATTAGACATGATTAAATTTGTTTTCCTCGTGTGTGTCAAAGAAATCAGTGGTATAGCTTTGTTAATATTTACACATGTATAAGTTCATGTATGTATAAATACATTCATTCAATGAGAATGTGTACATATAAATGGAGAGTTTTCATGAGCTGAAAAAATAAGAGAATTTTTCATTAAATCTGGAATAGTTTGCTTAGATTGTTTTATTTGATTATAAAGTAAGATATAATTAAAATATTAATATTTTATCTACGTAATTTGTTTGTTTATATATAATATTTTCTAAGTAAAAGAAATATGTAATCTTTTATAATGTCGTTATCATTATTTACATAATGAATATTTTTTGGAATAAACATAGGCTTTTATTAAATATAAAATGCAATTTTAGGCGTATAAATGGAATTTCCCTAGTAAGCAGGAAGTAACTACATTACAAATTGAAAAATATGCCAACTTCCTGAAGCGCCGTAGGTAAATCTTCCCTTTTCTAGCGCATCCATTGACCATGCCGTTTACTGCAATGGCGGTATAGATATTTGACGAAGAAGAAAGTGGATTTTCTGCAATGTAAGTGAATATTGTTTTTATTTTTTTTTTTATGCATCTATATTAAATACAAAATTGTATGTTTTTCTGTGTACATTTTTGTCAAATTTTCAAACATCCCATTACAGAATGATTACAATTTGAGTGGGCAAGGTCTAGTTGTACTTTTATAGACTACAGAATTCAGTTTCTTCCATATTGATCAGTGTACTAGCCAATATAACATAATTTTACTTATAAAAAAACAAAAATATCCAGTTACCGATAATAATTGTTCCTTGAGGAGTTTACCGGCTTACAAGAATAGGACGCCAAAGAATTCGCGGTAATCATTCCCGACGTCTTAGGTTAGGATGATTTAAGTATTGTTTGATGATTTCATATAGTATAATATAATGTGTAAAATTGTAATTTAAAACGATATTTATGTTTTTATATATCTTTTGTACTTATTTACTGTTAATTTTATAGTAAATAAAATATGTTCAAATAATGCATGTTATATCTTAAAAAAAATTAATGTGAAAACAAAGCAACAAATGAATCTTATCAAATCTTCTGTTTCTAATAAATATACTTTTTTTAATATAATGTTGTATACGACTAGAAATTTAATATTTTGATATATTTTAGATTTGTATATGGTATATGTATAAATTGTTAACTTAAAGAACTTTTGTTAAGTTAAATGTAAGCTTTTATTAATTTTAAAATCTATGGTCATGGCATGAAAGAAATTTTTGAAGAAAATATATTTATATTAGAACAAGAAATAATGTTAATTTTAACAAATGTGCATTGATTCTTTTTCTTGTATTAATTACACTTGTAGGTAATACTTGGTATTTTATTATCTGAATGGACAATAAGGTGGATGTCTCAGAAGTAGAAAATATTTCAATGATTGGATCGTCTGAAATTTTTTATCTGCCTGAAGTCGCAGAGATATCAGAGGTGTTAGATTCCACTGGTCTTAGTCCATTGACGTCTTCTTTAGATCATACTTTAACTCTTCAAGAGGATAAACTGCTTTCATCAGAAGTTAATATGGGCATAGAAGATACATGGTACAATTAATATTATTTATATAAATAATTACTTATATAGTTAATAAATTATGTTATTAATTGAATTTAATTTGATATTTTTGTTATAGGACTGAAGCAAATAGTTCTACATCAGATTATGCTATTCCACTTCCACCACCACCTGGTTTAAATGATTTCACAGATGTTGGTGCAGATCCTATTGGTGATAACGGAACTGGTATAGAATATGGTCCATTTTTACCTCCTGGTACTCCAGCTCTAAATAATTTGTTTTCAGAAGGTGGAGATTCTCAAGATGATTCACCAATGGGTGTGTATAAATATTGATATATTTATATGTGCAAAACTAAACTTTCATATAAATTTGTTTACTAGGTTTATTGAGTAAATAATATTTTGTATATATTTATGTTTATAGAAGATGTAGTTTTGCGTGCTGGAGTATGTGGTCTTCGCAATCTTGGTAATACTTGCTTTATGGCTGCTGGTTTGCAATGTTTAACTGCAACACCACCCGTCCTGCGACATTTTTTGGATTTACAGCAAAGGGGGGAGAAACTACCTCCTCCTGGATCATTGATGGCGCATTTTAGTGTACTCCTTGGCAAAATGTGGTCTGGCAAATATAGTGTCCTTAGGCCTACTGAATTCAAACAAACGTTAGGGGCATATCATTCACAATTTAAAGATTATAGACAGGTAACTTTCAGCAATTTTTATAGATCAGTTAATCATTATTGTAGAATTAGAATAATAATGATAATAATAATTAACAGCATGATTGTCAAGAATTTCTTGCACTTTTGTTGGATTCTTTACACGAACAAATGAATACAGCAAAGTGTACAAAAAATTGTCAAACTCCATCATCTACAACCACTGCCAACTCAATTAATTCAGTTGAGAATTCAAATGGGAAAACAATGTCCCCAGTGACTGCCACTAGCAATTCCAATTGTAATACGGACTTGTTGGAAATGTATGACTGCTTACCATCACCAGAGTGTCCAAATAGCCCTAATGTTACAATGGCAGGTTCACCTAGAGGTAAAAATATTTAATAAAAATATATAATATATGAATATGATATGTTACAATGATTATAAAAATTACTTAATTTTAGATTTAGGTTCACCGATAGGTGAATTAGATAGTATTGCAAATTCACCACGAGGATCGCCCTTAAATGATGGTGATGATGAAGAAACGCTTGATTCTGATGAAACTGTTGAAGCTAAATCAAATACATTTATCCATAATGAGGTTGATGGAAAGAAAAACGAAGTTACACCTTCATTAAGGCTTGAAACATTGATTGAACTTTCAAAAAATGTTCCAAAATACCATGATCTCTATGATATTCATAAAGAAGCAAAAACTAGCAATGCAAACTTTTTAGTAACGCAACAAGAATGTAATAATGAGATTCATTATGATTCTCAAAAATTTCCGAAAGAAAATGTTCGTAGAATGCCTTTAGATAATTCAAATCTAATGGAAAATCACGATTTTGACAATAAAAGTGTCAGTATCAAAAGAATAAAAGAAGTTAATGTTCAGAAAGTCAATTGTGGTGTAGATTATGCGTCAAGTGGTTCTGATATAGAGTATGATAATGGTTTAGAGAAGTGTAATGTAAAACGTATGAGGCTAGATGATCAAGAGAAGAATCATAAACGCGATGGTCAGGGAAGCATTAGTTCACAATGTATGCGAATTTCACAAAATTATGGAAATGGTGCTATAGAAACCCAAGATGAAATTGAGGCTGACAAACATTGGGCAAAGCATTTAAAGTCTAATAGAAGTATCATTGTCGATACCTTCCAGGGACAGTTTAAAAGCAAGGTAAATTTAATTTTATCATATATGACACTTCATCTGCTGTGGAGACTGTACGTTGGGGTAATTAACACATATAATTGGTTTTTACCGTAAAATGTTTCCTATATCAAAATTCAGCAGCCATACCTCCTTGCTTTAGGAAGCATAAAAAGCAGGTCTCAATCTGTTGATATATAACAACGTTTAACACGTTTACGCTCGTGTGTACCATCCGTGGCTCACATTTGAATATCCCTTCGGGTGGTATGTACCACCGTTTGCTCACACTTAAATGTTACATCAGGCGGCGCGTAGAGCAGCCGCCCTATTGCGAGAAACACGAATTGCAACGCCGACGTGAACATGTTAAATTACATAATATAAATGTAAATATACATTAGATTGAAACAATTGGTATTTGTATATTTTCTTTTCTTTATAGGTTGTTTGTGCAGTATGTAATCATGTTTCTGTTACGTATGAGCCTTTTATGTATTTATCAGTGCCGCTACCTCACGCAATGGAGAGACAATTAAACGTTACATACGTTCCTGCAAATGGCGATCAGCCTATAAGGTGTGTCGTTTCATTAAACAAACAGTCACGTATTGGAAAATTGAAGGAGGAGCTATTGAAAACACTTGGCAAAGAAAATATTGCAGTAGGAAATATCGCACTTGCTGAAGTTTTAGAAAATCATATATCGAAGATTTTGGTAAGCATATAAAACTCAATCCGTCGTACCCGAGAGAGTTAGTTTTTTGGTTTATTTAAATACAGCATATACATATCTTTTAAACAATTTTCACTCAATTAATCAATTCATCGTGACAAAAGTTTTACAGATTTAGAAAATATTTAAATAACGAAGTTTCTCGATCACTCGATTTTAAATACAATATGATTTTTAAAGAGATTTCAAGTTATCTCTTTTTGTTAGGAGTAAAACTTGATTTTATTCCATCTCATTAAAAAGCGGTGCGTGGGTTTATATATTAATACGAGAATAATTATGGAGAGTGAAGAAGACGGCTTATCGAGTAGTTTCGATAATCGTTGATACTGCTCTCCAAGAATAAATGTTATGGAAGAACATTCTCGTAACGTAAAGTTTAGTTATGAGGCTACATTCCATTATACAGGCTTAATTTTTTTGTTCTTGTATTCTTCTATATACTTTTACTTCGGTTTTTGTTATTTATTCTCTTGTTATTGGATCATCGTAGTCATCATTCCTTGATTATATCATTTTACCCTTGCACCGTAGGTAACGAGAATTATGTATCTTGCTTGCTGTAGCTTATCGCACTAGATGGAATTGTCATTGTTGGATTGTACATCAAGGTTTTACATTTAAGGATGACAATACACTCTTGAGACACATCAATGATACGAATCGATCTATATATGCCTTTGAACTCACGGAACCTCCTGATGCGTACACTTCAGTACCAGATGGTGGCGGAGATCGTGTAACGGAGGCTGATTCCTGTCAGAAATGTACTGTTACCGGAGAAGAAATTCCATGTACAATTTGCCTCGAAGAACTGGACGGAGATTTGAAAAGGCACAGTGGGAACAGTTGCAATTTTGTTATGTGTGATACTTGCATTGAGGTAGGCTATTTTATTTCTTCTATAATTTCATTTTTATATGTTACTAAGAATGTTGTAAAATATTAAACAATAAAATTTTTGTATTACTTTATTTGTATAATCATAATTGACGCAATATGAAAACCCGATGATGAAAACGGCAGCTTCAATCTAGCGGCAGGGGTGTACAAGCAAGGTACATAGTTACCACTATCTCACCTCGGGAAGGTCTGAGATTAAACCAACGAACGTTCTAGCTGGACGGTATCATAAGGGTACGTACGGGAACCAGAAATAGCTTTACGTTGCCAATTAGCCCAGGAAACTTCGCTTGAAGTAGAGGTACTTGGAAACGGAAAGATGGAAACCCGTATGGTTCGCTACTTGAGTACAATCCGCAAGCCAGAAAACTTACATTCTGGAACTCAATTCAGACTAATCTGAGGCTGCCGTACACTGAGGGTATTATATGTTGACGTTCTTCATTTCATTCTTTAATAATAATTCATATTTAATTCATGTATATTCAAATGTTATGTGTTACAATGAATATCTTATAAGTTATTGTTCTATGTTTAATTTAATAGAATTACTTCAAAAATCAAACGGAACCGCAAATGTGTCCAATGTGTTCAACTTATATGACTGCGTCGTCCTTTATTAAAATAGATCAAACAGGCAGACCGAGACCTGCAGTTAGGATTTTAAATGTACCGTTGGTCTTGCGACATGATACGACAAACGAAACAACAAATAACCGTAAAGGAACAAAACTGTTTGGTTATCCACATTTAGTAAGATTACCTTCAAGAGTAAACGCTAAAGACTTATACGATATTGTAAAAAAAAATGTACCGCAAGAAGGAAGTTATACACTTCATTTTGTTACAGGACAGGTTAGAGTATGATTATGTATCATGTTTTTGTAAAAATTATTCTCAATGAATAATTTTTAATATACACTTAAATATCAAAATAAAGTATGTTAACAAATGTACTTCTTTCTTTCTTTATAGGGTCATCATTGTTCTCGTTGTATGTATACTACACATTGCACGGGGTGCAGTGTATCTGAAACAGGCATGGTAATCTTGTGTAATGGTGATACTTTAGCTGTGCGTTATACAGAGCAGGTTCCTAAGATCGCACCTCCAATTGATCATGTTAGCGTTAGCAAACAGAGGCCTCATCATCCTTTATCTTTATACGATTGTCTTCAAGCATTTAGTCAGAGGTAAAATTTATTACTAATAATATAGTTTTAATACAGTTTTAATAGTTTTTCAAATAATTTATAAACAATATTGATACTCATATGTTTTGTAGCGAAACATTAGATGAAAACAACCCTTGGTTTTGTCCAAAATGCGAACGAAATCGATGCGCTACGAAAACTCTTACAGTTCACAGATATCCCAAGTTCCTGATAGTATATTTGAAACGGTATGTCTATTATTGATTGTACAAATAACGATTCAGCATATGTTTATCCGATTTAATAATAAAATCTATTCTTCAAGATGTAACAAGATGTAACAATTATATTTTTTCATATGAATTACAGATTCGTATTCTATGAATGTACTAGTATGAAATTGGATGATAAAGTCACATTTCCTTTGGTTGGTTTAAGCGTTGGACAACATTTATACGATCTTTACGCTTGTGTTTGTCATTTTGGAGGTATATATTATTATTTTGTTCACATATATTTTAATTACGATTAATATGATGTCCTTATGTATGATTTCATTATATTATAGGAGTCTCGGCTGGGCACTATACAGCATACGCGAAAAATCCTCGCACCGATATGTGGTACTATTACAATGATGAAATTACAAGCAGACAGAAACCTCAGGAGGAAGATTTTAGCAACGCATATATACTTTTTTACAGTCGGCAAGGGACCAATTTAAAATCGTGCAATATATAACCAGTGCTGGAACGAAGGAACTGGCAAATGGGTAGTGCCAGTGAGATACAAAGGGTGGGGAAGATAATGGGATATGGGCTATCAAGAGAAGAGTTTACAAGGTGTTGCGTTTATATGTTGATCGAACTACATCATATTGAATGGAAAACTGCTCACAAAACTCTTGATTTATTTTTCCTAATAATTCGCTCGTGGTCTGCCTCTGTGTCTCTTTTACTTCCTTACATTATTCAACTTCTCGCTGTTGTTGAATTCCTAGTAAACATCTTACAGATGGTACAGCGTGTGCGATATATGTACATGTGGAAATTCGGTAACTGTTGAATATCATTAGCGGTAAAGTTGTGCATTCTATCGGTGATTGTTTATTGAGTTTGGGAGGTATTGTGTAATTGTCAGATCATTAGTGACGTTTAACGTGAAAGCAGCAACTGTGTAAGGAAGAGTTAATAATTTGGAAAGAACTAAACGTATTTATACCAGATTAGTGCGTAAACGTACGTCGAATTTGTACAGTAGGTGATTAAACGTAGACTTTGAGGTTTTGAACAGACGTAATTTATTAGTGAATAAAGGCGAACGTTACGACTAGAATACACTTAAAAGTACGATCCTTAACGACGGAGTGTAACCATTCACTGTATCATTATTTCCTCTCTTTATCTGAATGGATACAAGACTGCTAAGATGTTTATAATCTGCATGTACATTGTAGCAAAAAAGGTTGTATTTGCAGATTATTTATTAAATTAGTTTTGTTGTAATTTTATTACAGGATATTCATTTAACTTGTTATATACGCTCGTATCCTCACGCGTACAATCGACACACGCATGCGTTATAACACATAATCATCATACCCGTTGTTAGTATGCTATTTGTGGCCCGATGACTGTATTATATGTCTTTATCGTATAGGTTATTGTAAAAATTATTATAAAAGAAATTGTTCCAATTTTTCGGTCGAAACATGTCAGTTAGAAAGTGATTATATCGTATTATATTTGTGTTTATTCGGTTCAGGTAATTTTGTGGTTGTTTTTTGTTTTCTAATTTACTAATTAATTAGCATGTTTAAATCATTGATGAATTCTTCGCTACAATATTGACTCTTTATATCGTTTAAAAAAGGACTTTTAATATATCGTTAGAAATAAAAAGAAACGTCAATGTTCTAAACTGTTTCGGTATATCGAGTAATTTAGTAATATCGGGTTTTAATAATTTACAGTACATTTTCTTACTAAATAAGAAATAACAAATATTCTAATTGCTATTTGGAAGAGTTGTAATTGTATCTTTATAGCCATCGAAAATTTATTCGAAAGAGAAATATACGAGTACAAAGATTGAGATATGCAAAATTGAGGGAAACTAAGGCCACCGATAGGGTAACGATTAGGTACGTTAAATATGTATGTAAAAGATGATCTTTGGTATGTACATTAAAAATCTTATCGATAAATGTTTCGCGATAAATATTTGCATTGTAACGATCAAAAACGATTATTCGCTCGATGGTGTCAAAAATACGCCATTAATTATTGAAGAGC